CCCACTTTCCAACCATAAATCCAGTTATCGTGCCCATGGTAAACGTTGGGTATCGATAAATGAGTGGAAGCGAGACAGATGTATAGGGTATGTAAACGCAGACATGAGATAATAAATCCAGTGTTTAACTAACATTTGGAATAAATATCATTGTTAAATATTTACATTTTAATATTTTAGACAAATTATTTGCAACTCTTTTTAAAATCCCACTCAAAAGGTGTTGAGTTGGGATCCCTGCACAACTTAGGTGGAAGGCGAAGAAGGCCTCCTTCTTGGGGGTCAAAATGTAATTGAGTTATACATTTTAATAAAAATTAAAAATTAATATATGTAGTTAATTAAAATAGCCCGGAAGAGAGAAAAACATCCAAAAAATGGAACTCCTAATCATAGAAACCGTATGAAATTGCAAAAATTTAGCGAACATGATCAATGAAACTACCTAGCATTTTGGGATTAACATTAACTTTTTTGGTTATGAAAGATTTTTTTTAATTATTTTTAATAATAAAACAAATTTGCTTGGTTCGTTTCTCGATAAAAAAATTTCCTTTTCATTAATAAAACAAATTTGTTTGGTTTGTTTGTAGAAGATATTTTTCATGAAACTGATAAATGAATTCCATCAATTGATATATGAACCCCATGAAATCGATACATGAAACAATAAAATTGATTCATGAAACAATGAAAATGATTCATGAAATAATGAAACTGATTCATGAAACATAAGAACACCATGAACTGATACTTGAACCCCATGAAACTGATATATAAACATCGTGAAACTGTTAAGGTAATCATATGTATGAATCACTAAATAAATTATTTTATTTTATTTATTTGTTATAATAACCATTTTTATTGAGATAGTTTTATAAATTAATATCTAACAAAACCATAAAATAATTAACAAAATTCTTGCATCAATAAAATCGGAATTTGTTTTAAATAAATTGGTAATAGAATCCCTCAAATCATCAAAATCATGAAGACACAAAAAACAATTCTAAATATCTGGAAAAAATAGTAAGATAATATCTCAAATCATGATAATTCTGAGTAAAAAAATGGTAAAGAAAAATATGATTTCTTATAGTTATAAAAATATAATGCATTCCAAAAAAAACGTTTATTATAGATTTCGTTTCCAAAATAATAGAAATTTGATAATGAATATTTAACATAATGATAAACACGCCTTACTAATAAAAAGAAAGAAAACAGATAAAAAAGACTTTGATTGGTTGAATTTATTCTGCATGGTTTGTACAAATACAGTGGTTTGCAAAAGATCACTTCCCTATATGTGTGTAGAAGGCCATCTTTTAAGAACTTGACAACTCTGAGATCCATTTTAAGCAACTAATATAATATAAATCAAGAAGTTAGTAATTATGATAATTTTGATTTAAAAATTTAATGAAAAGGTCTTATGGATTATTACAAATATCCTCTCTCCTCTCTCATCAATCACTAGCTAATTTAAAAAGGAAAAAAAAAATCTGTCAATAACCATATTTATTGGTTTGGGCTGTGAACACTATGAAGAACCTTGTGAACATAATATATTTGAACAACAAGTGAAGACCATATTGGATGATTTTGTGAACACCATGTCACCAAGCTAGCGAACACTTTGTGAATAGCATATATATAAACTACGATGGATATTTTGTGAACACAATGTGAACAACTTTATGAACACCATGTGAATAACCTTGTGAACATTTCGCACATTTAAGTATCTAGTAATACATTGTGAGCACATTCTGAACAACTGTGAATAGGGTAGGGGAATACGTGGACATTTTTTAGCGTCTGTGCTAAATTAAAACAGGACGAATGTGCAACCATCAAGAATACAACACCATAAATTACAATACAATCAAAACCTCAAAGTAAAACCCAAGTCAATATTCTAAATCCATGAAGTAGAAGCAAATATGGTAGGATGGCAATGTCTACAGTGTACACAACACACATTGTGCACAGTGCACACACCTTCTGGCTTCACGAGATTTAGACGTTGGCGTGACGAGAAGACCAACTATTCACAAGATTTGGACTTTCTATAGTATGGTCTCCTTCCAACAACCAGCTGCCACCGAAAACAAATCGGTAGCGGCAACGGAAACCATAACAACAGCCACAAGGGGGCGACAACCCTAGAGATTTGACATCATCCCGCTAAGGAACGTGGTCCATAAGATTATTGGCCTACTTTGGTAGTTTGTTCACACTTGACGTCAACAGAAACGAGAAGAGGGACGACAGCCTTACCTGGTAGCAATTGACGGCCTCGAGAGAAACAAAACGACGACTAAGGGCCATGAGATTTAGGGTTTTGAAACCCTTTTGGGATAGGGTTGATGACACCGGAAGAAGTCGGTTGCTACCATTGCATCTCTAAATGAAGACAAAGGCACAAAAGGGATCGACGATTTCTTGTAAGAGCCAGTGGCGAACTACATTTTCCCAGATGTTATGAGGCGGCATATATTTGATAGGGTTTGGAGTAGGGGTCTGAATCGGGCGGGTCAGGCGGGTTCGGGCGAGAAAATCAAAAACCCGATCGGATTTCGGATATGGAAATCAAGCCCCAATTTTTGGATTTCAAATTTCAAATTGCTTCGATTCAGGTTGGTCGGGTTTCAGGTTGAGGCCGGTCGGGTTTAGTTATAATGCAAAAAATATATATTCAATCGATTATGACGATGAATTCAATCGATTTAGAGGATTGATAAAGTGATAGTATGCTCAGAAATTAGAAAAAAAAATACGATCGACTAAGATTTTTTAGAATTTTCAAAAGATAATTAGATAAATAAGTATATTTATATAGTATTTAAAAAATATATATGTATATATATTTTGGACGGATCGGAGGCCAAAAATAAAACCCAACCCGAACCCGAATTTTCCCAAAAAGTCGTTTTCGGATTTTACATAAAACTTTATTTTGGGTTTGGGTTTTGCACACCCCTAATTTAGAGAAAGTGACGAGGGAAAGAGAAAAATATATATGGTTTTGAGCTATTTTGTTTTTTTGATAAAGGACAGATTGATGGGTTGTTATATAAATAGAAAATTACATAAATACCCTTTTTTATTAATTTAGGAATAAAATGATTTAACTAAAATGATTGGTTGATATTGGATAGCACAAATGTTAGGGTTCTCAAATGATTAAGCCCCTATATATGTAGGGGCGGATTTAAATGGAAACCGATTTTTGGTTGTGAAGCAGGGACAAAAGAGAGCACGACACGTGTCTCATACCTTCACAGGTTATTCATCATGAATAATGTATCTTTCATAGTGAATGTATATTATTCATCATGAATAGTGAATTAATTTAGCATGGATTATGATTAGGCATGTTCATCGGTTGACATCCATTGGATGTGAGGGGAACCGAACCGATCCAATCATCCATTAGATGTTCGATTTTGCCTACCAGTGTGTTAATTCAATCCAATTCTCCAACAATGATACAAATTGGTTAATCATTTTTAATATGTGTTAAAAGCAACACAAGAAGGGAAGTTAAAAATTCAAAGCCTCATATAAAAAAAATTCCGATTTAAACAATTTGAAAATAAATTAGTTGGATGATAGTTGGATAATGGTTGCATGGACAACTGGATGGTCATCGAATGATTAATTGGATGGGTAATTGGATGTTGATCGGTTTGGTTCGATTTGGTTTTCGACGGTTCTAGACTGCCATCCGAGAACCGACCGATCCAAATTGGATGTTGAAATTTTCAATTCGATCCGATCCAACTACAATTGGATATCCAATTATGGTCTGTCGGTTTTAATTGGATCAGTCGATTCCAATTGGATCTGTTGATTTTCTACACACCCCTAATTATGATCATGTATTATTTATGGTGATTGTTGTATTATTCATCAAGAATGTTGTATTATTAATCAAGAATGTTGTATTGTTCATCAAGAATGTGGTATCATTAATGCTGAACAGTTCATGAACTTCATCTTCGTTAATACTAAATACGCACTCTCTCCTTTGTACCCTAATTCACAATCGAAAATCGGTTTTCATTTGAACTTCTCTCTCTCTCTCTCTCTCTCTCTATATATATATATATATATATATATATATATAGATAGATAGGGCATGGGAGAACCGTTTAATCTGTAGGAAGCGTGAGATCCAATATCATCCTTGTTTAATTTCATTCTTTAATTGTGAAAAAGATTCCATAACTAATTCAATAAGACTATCATAGTAATTTGTTGTTTATTAATTAATAACCATAATTTATGCAAAATTGAAATTGCTTCTCTCTCTTATTTCTCCAACTATTATTTTCGACACTCTATCCGTGGATGACGTGATTCACATCATGAAATCCTAAACAATGTGATATTTATAAGTACGCCTTATATTGTGAATTATTAACATTGGGATATTTACATGTGTTTTACATTGTGAATGGATTCTTTCTTAAAAACATGTCTCACGCCTTGTACGGTATGAAGACTTAATACAGAATGTGAATAACTGAAACACATGATATAGGCAATCTGATCACCAAGCCACTGCCTATGAGTCGCCGACTCATTCTTCAACAGGCACGCGGTCACATTATGAAACATTAACAATCATATTTTTCAAAGTGATCCATCACGGGGAGGGCACAACATATACACATGACATTTAAATAAACAATGTGTATTATACTAGAAGGGTACGGTCTTGTGATAAACGGGTCCTGTATACGCCTTAGGTAATTATTATGTGATTATATGCCTATATGAGTATGTGAGTTATCCATGTGATATGTAAATACATGCATGAGTTTATTTATGTGCATAAATATGTGCATGCATGTTACATAAAAGGTGAAGTATTAATAATTATGCATACATGAGGTATGTGTATATCTATACTACATATATAAGCATTTAAGACAAAGTCTTAAATACAAGCCTTTAAGCATAAGTTACAATCATTTTATGCATGATTTTCAAAAAACTCTTAAAAACAAGTCACAAAGCACAATGTACAACCAACTTATACATAAAGTTCAAAAAGACTATAAATCACAACTAACAAAGCATAATGTACAACCACCAATACCATCAAGGTTGAAACTTTGAATTTAACTTTTTTAGTTGAAGCTTTTTCATCCTCTTTTTACAGCTTTCTTCCATCCATCTTTACATCTTTCTTCCATCCATTTAGTAAGTTCAAACCTTTCTTCCACCCATTTAGTAAGTTCAAACCCTTCTTTCTTGCTTCTTATTTCTCTTTTCCCTATTTACAGCTCTCACCTGAAAATTGTTTCAGCTTTTCTTTACTGTGAACACCACATCACTCGAGGTCTGTATTTGGTGCCTTGTTCAAGAAACCAGTAGAAACAAAAATACCTGCATAAAACTGTGTGGCATCCAGCCTCTTTCTCTCAATCACATTCACATAGTAAGCTTCTTCACTGCAATTACCCCAACCCTCCAAACCCTTCTCGGCAGCCACTCTCCATCTCCGACAACTCCCTTCTCATGGCGACTCCCCCACCCTCTTCCGTTTTCCGGCTACTTTTCTTTCTTTCATACAGGTCCCCGATCCTTGTTTCTCTTCCCTTCTATGTAACCCTCACCCCACCCCTTCATCTTCCTATGATACACTTGCAACGCCATTCATAAGAGACGCCTCCAAACCTTTTGGTGAACATCACAACGCCTGCAAGAGATGAACAGAGAGATAGAGAAGCTAAGATATATTTTCTTCACAAGAGGCAAAAAGACAAAACAGTCCAGTTGTTCAGTTCATAAACAGTAGACCACAACATGTACAGGTTTGATATTTGTGGCTTTGGAGTGTCTACAATTGTCAATGTCTGTATGGGTCTATACTTATATACTACTGGAGTAATACACACCATCTACTGCTCACTGCTTATCGATTACAGCAGCGGCAACAATAATAGGGTATCATTTGATCTATAGCTAAGCAGCTATGGATGGTATGTGAGCAATAGGGTTTTCATAGCTGGTCTCATGAGAAGTGCCTTGACAATGAGCTAAAGGACGCAGTTTCAGACGTTGCCAGGAAACATACTAAAGAGGGTAAAGTAAGTGCTCCATCCTTTTGGACTTTGGTTAAACAACGATATGTTTTTGATTGACAAATCATCACAATATTTACAGTGCCATACCCTACCCCTCTCCTCCGTATATTCAAATACTTCAATATACACACATAGAAATAATATTCAAGATTTCTTGAAAAAATAACCCATGGATTTTCTTTATGATGTTCAGAAAGAAAAAATTGGGGATCTGAAGATGCTCGGTAAAACAAACGAGGCTCCGGCGAGAGAGACGGGAAGTTCTGTAAGGGTGGTTGCCCCTCTCCTGCCACCACATGATCAGATCATGTTTTTCGACAAAAAAAGCAACGGCCATCGATTTTGAAAACCCTTTAACCCAAAACTAGATCATTGATCTTCAATCTAACTAAATCACAAAAACTCATGAATTTTTTGGGTTTCTTTGAGCAAGAGTCACAATAATGTTTTGAAATTTAACATTTTTTATTGGAAAGGAAAGGAAAAAAAAAACTTTGACAAATCAGACGGAAGAAACCAACTTAAACACTGGAACTGAAGATGCAAGAGAAAGAAAAGGGTTCGCAAATGGGAAGACCAAAGCAAGTCAAGAATTAATTATAGATACATATATATATATATATATATATACACATATATAGATATGTATAGAGAGAAGGGGGGGGAAAGAAAGAGTACTCTTAAGAAAAAAGGTAGAAGAACACAGAGGATCTCTCTCTCTCTCTCTCTCTCTCTCTACACATATCTTGAATATAAACCTAGAAAGAAAAAAGAGAACGGGGTCTAGAGGTCTGAGGGTAAGCAAGAAGGACCCAGAAAAGGTGCTTTGAGGACTGTGAAAAAAGAAAAAAAAAGAATGGGGTAGTCTTGATTTTTTTTTTAACTTTTTATTTATTTTAACCTCTGATTTTTCGTTCTGTAATAATAAGGTTGGTAGAGTTAAAGTGAGAAATATAAGAACGGATTTTCATTTTTGAATGTACATCAGCATGAGATATTTCTATGTCTTCTCCTATTGCGTCGCCGAAGAAAAGCATCGGTCTTTCTCTTATTTCACTTGCCATATACTAGATATTTCTACCAATGTTCCATTTGCTGGAAAAAGTTCACTATTATAGTATGCAATACAAGATTCACCCACTGTGTGGCTCAGATTATGAGTGACTACAAGAAAATGATGTTATACAACGTAGATATTTGTGCATATCTCTCTAATTGGAGGATAATTTGGTCTCTATGAGCACCAAAAAGCTTAAAAAACCACAAGAACAAAAGAATTAACGAACCTAAATTGTTCGATGAAAAAAGAAACTTACTTGTCCATCTTCCTCCATTGGTCGATTGCAAAAATAAGGAACAAAAAAAAGGCATCGTGAATAAGAACCCCAAAACAGAAGCATTTTTAACCATCTAGGGTTTAATTAAACGCGAATTGCGTAGGAAATTTATAATTAGATTACCTCATATTCGATTTGCGAGTAAGACCGACGGAGTAGTACCTGAAAACATAAATTTTTGAATTCGAGAATCAGATTAGGGTTTAGGGTTGTGGATATAAAACCCTAATGGAAATATAGCGGTAAAGGGAGTTAAAAATCTGCATCAATTACCACAATGGAAGCAAATGCTAACGAAAATGAAAGATAGAATTGAATGGTTTAATCGACGAGGTACCTATTTGCGACGGCGGGAAGACGGTGGAGTAGAGCTTAGATCGCTGCTGAACGATGAAGACGGAAGAGAAACGACAGAGGCGGGTTTATGAGCCCTAAACCTTTTCGCATCCGGGTCGTTTCCAAAACTGCAGGTGGAAGGCACGTGACTCCATTCTTCTCCTTTATGGTATTCCTTATAAATTAAAATCTTTCATATCTATACTACTTTATAAACCAAATTTATCAAAAGTATTAAAAACAATTTTTAATGTCTAAAGTATTATACATTTATGCGCAAAGTCTTAAAAATCTTAAAAACAAATCATAGTGCATTAAGTATTACTACTACTTTATGCATATTATTACATTTTCTTTTCATGTTCCCAAAATACTTTTGACACATTTCACTCATGTCTTCACCTTCTCATACCTCTATGTCTTCTCCTCATCCCCCAATGTGAGATTAAAACTAATATTCATCATGAGTTTTTAAAAGTTCTGTCATTCATCTCCTATTCAATTGCTCTAGAACTTTCAGTCTCGCTCTCGATCTCTTGATTCTTTGC